TGATAACTAAATTTTATAGAATACTTATTGTATTCTATTGTACTAAACTATATAGAATTTTCTAAAAATTTAGTTATCATCGCAAGTCAGATTAGATGACTATTCTATTTTAGACATATGTTTATGCATACAATTACATAAAATACTACGATAAATTTATATTGTAACGGCTATTGCCGTTTTAATTGTGTAAATAAATAAATAAATTTTACGAGCAAAATACAAATGATATACTTAACATCATTACACAAAAAATATTACACATATATACTAAGTACTAAGCTTAGTAAAGGTTAGGCACCGCCAAGGGTGTCCCCGATAGAAAATAATAAGTCTGCTTACATTTACTTCGATCAAACATCGCTGTTTGATTACGTATTAAAACCACATCTTTTGCACATTTTACAAATCTATTTTTTTACATTTACTATAACATCACTATATAACCACGCACAAGCACCGTGTGCACATTCTACCGTACTATTCAATGTTAATTAGTAATTGAAACGTCAGGCCGTAGTTAAAATAATTATCAAGTAACTTAACTAATATATTTCGCGTTTTAAACCGTTAAAGTGTTTTGTTTAAAAATTAAAATATAAAATAATATATGTCTCATTGTGTGACAAACGGTTGCGATAAAAATAGAGTCACTATAAACTTATTTACATAAACATCAAATTAAGACTAATGAAGCTCCCACGCGTCGCTTGCGATACCCATTGTTGGGATTTTGAAATAATTTTGGAATAAATCTCCCTTCATCACTAATCTCTGAATCGTGTGATTATTCCTCTCCTTTTACAGAGCGCAGAGGCGATGTTTAGGCCCGGTTTTATCTGATCAGCTTTCGTTTGTCATACTTTCGTAATGAACTCGTGACATGTGACAAACTGGTTCCATTTTGGCATGTCTTCAGATTAAGCGTGTCAAACGGCGCTGCTTAACTGATGTTTTGATCGAATTGTGCAACGACTTTGTTGTCGAGAATGAGTAATGATGTATCGGAATAAAAAAATTGAAGTAGGTGCAGAGCTACACAGATACATTTATAATAGAGTAGGACAGACTTCACTTGATAGAAGGTGAAATACCTTAGCCAAATAACGCCTCAACAAGATGTGTTGGGGACCTATGATGTTCGAAAACCACAGACTAAAACAAAAACGTTGTTAAAATTTCACGTCTGTAACTATTTTTATTAAATATTAGACCCGGTGGAGATCGTGATTATTATTACAGCCTTTTGTTGAGGTGGAACATAAAATCTTAAATAAATCTATAGTCTATGCACTGCACTTTAGTGCTGCTCCAAATGTCACGTTTAAAATGTAAATGTAAACAAAAGGAGAAAAGACAATAAAATTGAACACATCCCGTTCCTAACGTTGGGACCTCGAAACGGATCCTCGATTCCCGCGCGGATTTCACCAATCTTTTCATCTACGCTTTTCCGATCGCCTGGATCCACTCTCGAGCGCAGAATGAGACGCAGTAAACGCGGACTGTCATCGGAAACTTGGAGTGAACGTATTATTAAGCGCTCCCAAACGATATAACGGGACCGAAGCTGTTTTAGAAACAGTATTTCTTAGCTCACAATCTGCGCTGAGCTCGTCTTTATTTTCCCCCGGATAAAAGTCTGTTACATTTTTTAATAAACTCTCGCAAACAATAAAGTTCTCTTTAACTTTCAGCGAATTAAAAGAGTTAGTCGGGAGTCGTTTGAAGTTTAATTTTAGTAACGCTTTGGTTTTAGAAAATCCCCTCCGAGGTAGTAAAAGACGCCATTCGCGGGGAAGACATCTCATCCTTGAATTTCTCGAGAGCGTTGCATACGTAATGCAATGCAAAGCAGTTGCGGGGACGTCATTTAACTTTCTTAATTTATTCAGTATAATTTCTGCACGACGAGCTCTCGTAGGGACAAGCTGTCACGGGTCTTTGTTTTTACTGTCATTTGCAATCTGACGTCCGTGATTAATTTTAATTAGGCTGTCAAAAATAATATAAGACCAATTCTAACTAAGTGTGTTGCAAGTCGAATTGTGCGTCTTAAAAATCTGACTCTGGAATTGCCCCAAACTCTACTAACACTTCAATAACAAGATCAACATTTCGCGCAAAACAAACGAAAAAGCGAACATAAACATAACTTATGAATTTCTTAATTAAGAAAACTTCTCATTCAAAAGTCGTGAGAAAGATAACAGTTTGGCAGGCATTGGATCGCAGAGGGCGCTAGTGAGCACGTCTTGGCCTCAATCGTTCGACGAACGCCTCTGTAATTGCGACAAAACAATCAATTTTCTCACCGCGCTCGGTTATCGAACTCTCCTAAACTTTATGCCCACATCAGTCATGGCAAGGCCGGTCCATCGGTCTAGTGACGTGCCATAATTGTAACCTCGCCTAATATATTCCTAGCATTAGGACGTGATCTTCTATACATAGGAGAGGCTATAGGCTGCGTACGGTGGTTTAAAATGTATAAGTATCTGGTACTATTGATGCGTGTTTTAAACAATTCAGCATTTTCTGTTTTCACAAGCTTTTGCGTTTGAAGCGGTAAACTAAACATGTACCTATTACATCGCAAAGAACCAAATGATTCTTGATCCACGATCAAAGTGATCTAGTTCCTTTTTTATGATAGAGCAGAACAGACAAGCACGGCATTCATGGCATCCAGATTTCCCGACGACAACATGTGCAACATGTTTCAGAGAAATTATAAATTGCAAAAAAAATGTTGGATCCCTTGATCGGATTATTGATTAGGCATCGTATCATATTGCTACCGCTACACCAACGAGCCCGCAAAACCTATTCAATTAATTCATTTGATGATGAATTTTAAAATCTAACATAGTACGTGTTGCTATCATGTTATGTTTTGACTCATACAAAACACAGAAACACGGTTTTCTAATTAACAACAAAATACCTATCGCGTTTATAAGGAACTATGACATTAGGAATGTTAAAAGTTGCGTAGCTCTTCTACGGAGCTCTACGGATTGTATTGCAATTACGATGATAAATAAAGTTAAGTGTTTAGTTAGAATATTCATTCAAGTCACTTCGATACTTGTATAATGCGAAGTAATAGGTACACATATTGTACACAGCTATTACATAAGTTCTTGGGCGCCGCGCAGACTGCGGATGGTCAGCTGATAGAGAAGAGCACGGAAATTGGGCGAATAAAAACACATTCTGTGTCCTTTATATCGTATCTATAGCTTCATTGGTTAATATCAAGGATTTTGTAAAATACTATTTTTCAGCAGTTTCAATACCGTTGTATGTTCCTTTCCATGTCCAATAAATAATTATAATATTCTCCATTCAAAATGGAAAAGTTGCGCTTGTTCCCAAGACATTGTTGGAAATCGTAAACTTGAAATAAGTTGGAAAATATTTGCGAGAAGCGGATAGAAGGGAAGGTAACTCATGAGATGCCATTGTCAACAGTTTATTATGTTAGTTCAGTGAATCGAAGAATTCTTGTTTATATGTTCCTCATAATTTATTCTTTTCTACTGTAGCGTTGTAGATAATAAGTAATAATAAAGGAATATTATTACCCAATACTATGATCTTATTGAAGGATACAATAACATATTTTTAAGGCAGGAATCGTATCCGCGATGTACAGTGAATGTCTGTAGTTTACGCAAATAGTACAAATTCAAATAATACACTTTAATGGTTTAAAACGCGATATATTATACTAGTTAAACTGTCTCCCTGTGACCGAAACGTCGGGCCTTAGTTAAAATAATTTTCAGATAAATTTAACTAATATATATCTGATTTAAACCGTGTTAAAAGTGTTTTATTTGGACATTGTATCCTGTCTATGCTGTATGAACTCAGCCATCGAGTCTTACGATCTGTCTTTAACTCCTACCTAGAAACAAGTGAGATTTACGTTCATAGAACTAGGAACTAAAACAAACAATTAATGGACATTCTCCAGCCACAATAGACGTTCAGAAAGTATGATAGCTGCAGTTAGAGAAAACTCGACATTGGCAAAGTGGGTTGGTGCAGGCAGCGAGCAAGTAGGTGAGCATGTCGAGGTCGTGACGTCACGCGCTTTCTCTGCGCCAGCGCCGATCTTGTGCAATCCCTGGCTGTGCCGTTCTCACTGTACTATTGCACTTTGCCCTTACTATTTTTTAATATGCTAGAAAAGTACGTGTATACGCGTAATTCTAGAGGTTTAACATAAGAACGAAATTAACTTCTTTACATTGTATTTGTAATGTAAACGTGAGACATGGATTTAAATGCTATTATTATTCTCTGTCACTTATAAGACTGTAACGACTTCTTGTAATCGTAAAATATTGCAGGATGTCACCGAATAATTTACAAAATAAATCAATTACGCACTGATTTCTGTCCTTAAATATTTTAGCGTAAATCACTTAGGTACTAGTGGTGCATGAACACAATATAAATTATAACTACACTGCAGTGTCGATAACCTTGCTTGTTAAGTTCTTGTTGCATACAGTTAAATAAACAATGCACTTTATATTTATTGTTACAACCTCGCTTATAAACGAATGGAGATTTTAGACTGATTCGTGCTTATCTAAGCATCGGTCGCACAGACTTAACCCACATCACGTTAAACATTTTCTTTAAACGTTTTTATTTATTTTTCCAGTCACTGTAGCACGCTAATAACTAATACGTGTTTGTTGTAGGAAAATTCTCTTTTACAAAGGTAAATAGTGTCATTGGCTTTAATAGTTGTGTTTTCCAAATAATAATATTTTATATTATTTCAAGTGCCAGTAGTATGTGCTAAAAATAATCTTTCAATTAAATCGTTCTTTTAAGTCTTTTTTTTTTAAAGCCTGACGTAAAAAAATAATTTGTTCTCGGTCCGATAGGTGGCGCTTTTAACAATTAATTTTAAGCGTCAACTCGTGAAGCATAAACATTGGATGTATGTGACAATATCCGACATTTTGTTGCAGAAGTGTGGAGCGCGGGCGGCGGGGGTGGGTCAACAGCATGCGGTAGCAGCGGCATGGACTTGAAACACGAGGTGGCTTATCGCGGGCTGACAGGCCAGGTGAAGGCAGAGCCTGGCGTCAGCCACAACGGGCACCCGATCAACGGCCACGTGAGGGACTGGATGGCTGGTGGTGGGGGGTCTCCGTCTCCCGGCGCGGCCCAGCCGCAGCCCAATGGATATTCCTCCCCACTATCGTCGAGCAGCTATGGACCCTATAGTCCAAATGGAAAAATTGGTTAGTACAGCAAACCACTAAAGAGTTATTTGCCTTTTATTATTTTGTTGCGTAAAATGTTGCCTATATTTATTATATGAATAAATATCTAGATCTTTGTAAACTAGTGATTAAAAATGTAATTCAAAACCGATCTGAATTAATCTAACCGTATTATTCATTCACCGGGGACTTTAGTTAAAATTAATCACGAACATAGAAAGACAGGATCCAGGCGTTCAGGTAAATCGTAATTCCTTCGAGTATTCAAAGTATAAATTTCTTTGAAACTACTTAGGTAGTTAAGGAAACTAAACTATCGAGGGGCCGTTTTGAGATCGCTGGAGGAAGTGTGTCGGTTCTTGAGTAGGAATAAGTTCAAAACTTACGCTTTTAAAACACGGACGACCCACTTACTGATAACATGTCATACATAATTGCGTCACAGTGGGGAGTATTGACTGTGGCCCACATACCATTAGCTGAACAACAATACTCCATTCCCAAGAGCCTTCAGACCGAAGGTCTCAGACCCCCAGTGGTTACACGTGGCTCATGCAGAATGAGGACTGGTACTTGTCAAGGATTGTAATGGAATATCCTTCAGTTCTATAA